TAAATAGTTAAGATTATATCAATGTCAATAAATTATATTATTGTTAATATTATAACGAATAGGAAAACAACTATCGATTTGTTTTTCCAACATGTCCGTTTACGGCTGACAATTGTAAATTCCCCAAATTTACTAAATGTCCTTAACTGGACAGTTGTAAATAAAATAGATAATAAAGGAAAAATGCTATTCCATACAAACATTATAATTTATAATTATCTGTGGGGGCAGTTTTGTAAAAATGAGCAAAAAAGCATTATTAAAATTTTTACAATTCTCACGGTCAGCATTAAAGTTTTTATAAATAACTAAGTTGAAGTGAATCACGTGTTGAGTCAATAGCAAAATCGCTTACTCTATGATGAAAATTTATAAAAAGTTGTTTATTGCAGATGTAAAAAACAACGAGTTTTCTAATTACGTCTGTTATGGCCGTAACCTTATTTTGGATCAAGAATTTAATTGTATAGAAATTTGTACAAGCGGACGACAAACACGGTAAACACTAAATATAACATAAAAACTAGAAGTTGTTTGAACACGTAGAAAATAATATATATGAAATATTGTACAATGAAACAATGGAGTAGGTTGTTGATGTACGTGATAACCTATTTGTTTGTAGCTGCAGAATATCATCTTGAGCAGATGGAAAGACACTTGAAAAAATGTCAAAGAATAATAAACAATTTTATAAAATACAACGGTCTACAATATTAGTATACAGAATGATGTGAATAATAGTATTAGGGTAGAGCGGGGCTTAAAGGTCCGCGGGTAAGAGGACCTTACAACCATCAATATCAAAAACAAGTAAAGTTACAAGTAAAAATAGCTTGTTACCGGAATTGCAGCATCAAATAGAAAAAAATCATCAGTATTAGAGAAATAAAATTTTAATAATAGATATAAAACTATTTTAAGAAGTATTATCACAACAGCTCCCAGGACTCATAAGCTCAGCGATTAAAATGCCTTTAAAAAACACACTAATAATAATATATATAAAAAATAACAACACTCATCATTTTTATAATATATTTATTAAATATATTGTAAATTATGTTGAAATAGTTATATTGTATATTATATTTGAAAATATTTAATAACATTAACTGATGTATCATAAAATCAACCATGTAAGCAAAATAACTAATTTATTTTTATATATTAGGACGATAAGATAACATAGTAATAATTGGCAAACGGGCGTATAGATAACTTTTATTAATTTTTTATGCAATATAACTTTGTGACGTTTATTAATATTTTCATAGATTACGTATAAATTAAAAAATATTAAAAATGTATGCAAATAATAAATTATCAGATGATAGCTATAATCGTTTAATTAAATTTGGACTTCTTAGAGCCACTCGTGACATAATCAGTATAATCGTGAGCTAGTACAGATTAGTCTAGGTTTGATATCAAGCAGTATGATATCAAGTTTCCACTTGAGGTTATGGCTCTCAAATGTAATCTAAAGTAAAAATCACCTTCTGCGGATATTGATGCAATATATGAGTATCTACAAAAAATAAACTAAGCCGTACTACTCGTCTATATTTCTTAACACTTTGAAAAATTATTATATTATTAAAAAAATATCGGGTTAATTGCCAATTTACGTTTTATGGTTTACATTTAACATGTAACTTAAACATTTGTTTTTTTTACATAATTTCGAGACGTCAATGATGTAAGAATGATTCTCTCAGGAAAATGTCAAGAACTATTATTGTATAAAAATATGATGTGCATAACTGCGTAATTTTTAATAAAAACTAGCTGTAAGTGAAATTCTGTCTTAAGGCAATTAGGGCATCGTGCCTTAAGGCAAATTGCTGGAACTTCCCGTACCAAAAATTATTATTTTTTTAAAAACGATTAACATTTTTGAAAAAAATTTACTTCGAAATAATTAGATTTTTGAAAAACTAGGAATATGACAAAAAATTACTTTTTTTTGAAAAAAAAATTTTTATTTGAAAAAAAAAATTTTTTTTTTGAAAGAAATTTTTTTTTTTGAAAACAAACTATTTTTTTGAAAAGAAAAATGTTTTCTTCATTTTGACATATTTTGGAAATTCTGAACTTTTTTTCAAAGCAATCGTACTGCTTGAACTGCATAGAGACGAATTGTCACAGCGCAAGTGCCGCGCCTCCGTCTAACGCATTGGTACGGAACCCATAGAAATGTGAAAAAAAATTATACTTATTGTTAAAATTTCTATACAATATCTGATAATTTGATGTGCATATGTCTAATCATCATTTTTAACCGCCGAATGGCATTTTTTTTTACTTTTTTCATTAGATCTCCGAAACCGCTAGACCTGCCTTCATGAAAATTTGATCAACTCTTCATCTTGCCAATACAAGTAAAATGTTTTTTGAATTATTCAAATCGGACGTTCCGTTCTCTTAAAAACTGAGTTACCGTTTTCGGCACTTTTTGCCCCGTATCTTCGGAACGGCTAGACCTAACTTCGCCAAAAACTAATCAGCACGTTTCCTTATCAGTACAAATCGAATGTTTTTTGAATTATTCAAATCGGTTGATCCGTGTTCCCAAAATCGTCGACGAAAATTTGTATCCGCACATACATACACACACACACACATACATCCATTTTTTCTAAGGTATGCCAAAATGTTCAGAAACCTCTGAAACGTAAAGATATATAAAAATTTTCATTTTCGATTTTTTTGCGATTACTATAACTTACCCTACGGGAAGTTAAAAAATATGATCACAAAACCTAACAATAATTACTTATGGGATAATTTAGTTATTGTTATGTCTGCAATATAAATAATTTTGATAGCAATTTCTTTCCGATGATGTTGACCAAAAGCTCAAAAGAAGCTTTGTTGCTCTCTAGCTGTGTTTGGACTAGGATTCAGAAAAAAAGTCTGCAAAATGCTTCTAAAATCGTTAATTTCAACTACATATAATACGCAAAAATAACAAAAAGTTATATTTAGTTATCCAAATATATATCTAAAAATGTACTCATACAATATTTACAATTACAGTTGTAATTGGACAAGTTATTAGAATTACATTAAAAATGTTACTAAATGATTTAGATTTTTGAATCTAGAAATCATGATACAAAACTTTAAATAGATTTGAAAAAGGATCATAACTATATTTCATTTTCAAACTCGTCGGATTTTTGGAATTCAATGCTTCGGATTTATGGACTTCCTGCAGGATAATCGTAGTCAATAGTAATCGCAAAAAAATGAAACGAAACATTTTACGATTAGAAAAATAGATGACATGTGTGGAAACAATTTTCGGATTTTGGTAGTACAGATAAACCGATTTGAATGATTCAAAAAGCATTCGATTCCTATTGATGGAGAGACGTGATGCTTAGTTTTTGGCATGCCCAGTCGTTCCGAAAATACGGAGCAAAGTGTACAGAAGATATAAATTAAGTTTTTAAGAGAACAGACCTTTCGATATGAATGATTCAAAAAACATTAAACACACACGTGTGTGTGTTTGGATACAAATTTTCGTGACGATGTGAGTAAACAGAGTTCAACCGATTCGAATGATTCAAAAAACATTCGATTCCTATTGATAAGGAGATGTGCTGATTAGTTTTCGGACAAGGCAGATCAAGCCGTTTTGAAGATTCGGTGCAAAAAGTGCCAAATATGGTAATTCAGTTTTTGAGAGAACAGAGCGTCCGACTTCAATAATTCTGAAAAGATTTTATTTGCATTGACAAAATGAAGAAAAAAGAAGATTAAATTTTTAGGAACGGCGGTTTTGGAGATCTAGTAAAAAAAAGAGAAAAAAATGCCATTTTGCGGTCAAAAATGATAATTTTATAAAGATTTTAATAATGGGTAAAAATTTTGTTAATATTTCTATGGGTTAAGTAACATTGTTCATCTGTTAGACTGTGACGCAGCGCTTACGCGCTTCGTTATTCTGTTCAAAATTTTCAAAATATTTCGGAATATAAAAAAAATAATTTTTTCTCAAAAAGGTCAATTTTTAATTGTTTTTTCTTAAAAATCATTTTTTTCAGTTTTACGAAAATTTTGAATCTCTTTCGAAAAAAATAATTTTTGGTGCGGAAAGTTCCAGCAATTTGCCTTAAGGCTCAATGTCATATAGCACTAGTTGGAAATCAATTAAAACGAATGTCTTTATACCCATGCTGGTTTCAAGATACTGCTAAGTTACATATTTTTAAGTCTTATTGGTATTCTCCATTCACGCGGGTTTTAAGTATATCCTGCCATTCTTGTTAAGACTACAAAAGTAATTTCATATAATCAAGAAAAAAATATCATAGATATGTTACTGCTGAATAAGTCAGCTCAACATCCAATTTAATCATAACGTATGAAGATAAAATCTAGTAAAAATTCATACAAATCAGTGTACGAGGCCACCTGGCTCTCGCTGATACTTTTTCATATACCTGTGCCTGTGTTGAGAATCTTTGCATAAAAAGCTAGTTAAAGTTCTATAGCTTATTTAATTCAAATGAATAATTTTAACTTTGCTTCATCAAATCCGATTGATTAAGTTTTGGTTATTACCTATTTATAAAATAAGAATAATGAAAAATACATTATTTATAAAATAAAAATATTTAATTCTCCTCGAACATTTCATTGAGGGGGCGTCCATTAATCATGTGAGGTTTTTAGGGGGAGGAGGACTTTAACGGATTTAAAAAAAAGTCATACATTTTCAAATAGAAAAACAAAAATAATTGTCTTTATACCCATGCTGGTTTCAAGTTAGATGTTGTTAAGTCTCCTGTAGTATATCCTGCCATTCATGTAAAGGCTACAAGAGTAATTTCATATAATTAGAAAAAAAATCGTAGATATGTTACTGCTGCTTAAGTCAGCTCAACATCCAATTTAATCATAACGTATGAAGATAAAATCTAGTAAAAATTCATACAAATCAGTGTACGAGGCCACCTGGCTCTCGCTGATACTCTTTCATATACCTGTGCCTGTGTTGAGAATCTTTGCATAAAAAGCGTCGTTCGTAATAAGTTCCCCCACGGGCCCAAGTAGCGCCGAAGCCGTCAGATCGTTCCCGGCCGCAAACGGCAACGGAGTAGCGGACTCGTGTTTAGCGTCATTCGACTGCGCGTTCAGTCCAGTCGCGAGCAGGCAAACGCGCGCACGCCATCCGAAAACCCGTTCGAAAGACGCGATGACCTGCTACAAGGAGACATAACAATAACAATAATACAAAAACCTTTACAAATTAATATATCAGTTATTACTAGTGCTCAATTGTGGAACACAGGAGTGATTCATTTTCCATTAGTGATCAGTGCGCGACTAGTGACAAGTGCGTGCCGGATAAGACAACGCCTGGTGCGATAACAGAAGAAACGTTAGTATTTTTTTTCTAAATTTATATTGAATGTTTTTCGAACGGGATGTGAGCACGTTTTTGCGTACTGCGACGATTGTCGGGCTGACAGCTCATTGTATTGTATCACGCCATGCGCATGTCCTGTTCATAGCCTCATCAGTACATGTGTGGGTTCACGACTCTATAAACTCTACGCAGCGACAGCTGTCTTCTCTATTGATAATAAACTCAATTTATTCGACAGATCAACATATTTTATTTCAATTGTAAGGATCATTTCAAAATCTCATTTTAGCTCCTTTAATTGACCAATATTTTTCAGAACTATTGTGATGAATGAATCACCGCACTAACGAAATAGCGGTTTTACACAGGGGGGTGCGAGGAGTTTTGTTGTGTTATTTTTGAATTAATATATCTTCTGCTTTTCTAATTGACCAACCGAGAGCTTCTTGTATTGTACATTTTTGAAAACATAACAATTGCGATTTATGAATCACCGCACTAACGAAATTGCGGTTTCACATAGAGGGAGGTTATGAGCTTGTTGTAACAGTATCTTTTTCAAATTAATATATCTTCAGATCCAGTAATTATGTTTCTACCAAATAAAGATGAATAAATGTTGTAACTACACATCTACCGAATCAAGTAAAAACTTGTGGTGCATGGCATCGTGTCTTAAGGCAAATTGCTGGAACATCCCGTAGCAGATTAAAAATTCGTAAAAATATTAATTACAATTGTTTTAAATATTTTCAAAGACAAAATTAATATTACTATATATTTATTCGTTCAATAATATACAGTGACGATCTTATCGCTCAAAACACTTGAGAATGTTTACATTAACAAGAGGTGCCGAATAAATCCATCTGAGGAAATATTCCATACGATTAGAATAACGCATTTGAAATATGAAATAAATACATTTGAAGTATAAAACTTTGTATATTTCCGAAAATAGTAATTTTTTTTTTTAATTTTAAAATGTATTGCATATTTGCGCCTTGTATTGCATACTTTTCAAAACAATTGTAATTTATGAATCACCGCCCTAACGAAATCGCGGGAGCTTGTTGTAACAGTTTTTTTTTTCAAATAAATGAATAGATACTACAACTATTCTTCTACCGAATCAAGTAAAAATAATTTTATAACTTTTGTTTATTAAGGATCATTTCAAAGTCTTCTTTTAGCTCCTCTAGTTGACCATCAGAGAACGCCTTGTATTACACATTTTTCAAAACATGACAACTGGCATTTATGAATCACCGCACTAACGAAATCGCGGTTTTACGTCTAGGGGGCCTAGGAGCTTGTTGTGATAGTATTTTTAAAAAAATTAATATATCTTGAGATCCATTGATTATATTACTACAAAATAAAAATGATTAGATACTGTAACTATTCCTCTACCGAATCAAGTAAAAATAATTCCGTAACTATTGTTTATTAAGGATCATTTCAGAATCTCCTTTTGGCTCCTCTAATTGACCATTGAACAATCGAGAGCGCCTTATATTACACATTTTTCAAAATATAGCAATTAAAATTTATCAATCACTGCATTAACAAAATCGCTAGGAGCTTGTTGTAACAATTTTTTTTGTAATTAATATATCTTGAGATCCACTGATTATACCTTTTCAAAATAAAAATGATTCGATACTGTAACTATTCCTCTACCGGATCAAGTAAAAATACTTCTATTACTATTGTTCATTATTCACAATTAATCATTTTCTAGAAATTGTTACCCGGTGTTTGGGGCTAGTTGTAATATCTACCTGAGACAATTTTACCTTTAACAATTTATTCTTTGCTTATTTTTTTAGAAAATTAACTTGATTATTAAGTAATTTTTCTCATAAATCTTGTGTTTTACCGCATGAAATAAAATCAAATTTTGGACAGTTAGAGAAAATTAAATAGCCTTTCTAATGATGCTATTTAAAAATTAGTTCAAACAACCGCACTACCCGAAAATTCAAAACAAAAAACTATTTTCACTTTTTCATGCACTAAAAAATAATTATGCAACATAATTTGTTATTAATAATATAGTACACACCGATGTGAACAGAATGGCGTTATTTGTTTGTCGATATATTCTACAGATACGAAAAAAAACGACTTTGAATAAAGGGGTCACTTTCACACATTTTCAATGATATCCCGGCCAAATGATGAGCTACGGATTTGAAATTTTGTATATCGGATTTTCTCGAAAATACCTATAAAATGGCATCAAAATCATTTAAATACCGCGGCGGGGCCAATTCTGTATGGAAACACGCCCATACCCTTTATGATAGTTCAATTTTACAATGACGCATCTGCACAGTTCTGTTTACTGCGTCGGCCCGCGAGACAGTTGCTATGACAATATTATGGAGTACGCTTCACTAGTCCAATGAAGACAAAAAAAAATAATATTATTTACCCCCGTTACAATAATCCTTTGCCCCCCCCCCACTTGTTAAAAAAGCAGTATTCATTTTGCGAAGCAATTATTGCATTTCTTGTATGATATAATCGCTTCTACGCCAATCGGTATGGCCTCATTACTCTTGTATAACTGTCACTTTCAAAGTTTGCTCTAACATAAACTGCGGTCTCCGGTGTTAGATACAAAAATATTTAAAAGCTTGTTAGTTTTATAAAAACGCAATGTAGAAAAAATTAATATTCTAGCCAAGCAGCGTTTCCCACGTGCTTGACAATCAATTGTTGTGCTGTGTGAACTGCTTTTCAAAATATATAAATGACAGTGACATAAGAAATAACACGTGCTATTCTTTTGTGATATTATAATGGTTCATAGATTTTTTTATGTCGGTCGACTACTTGGCAGTATTTGAAAGGAATTTTTATAAATATACCGTAAAAATTACGGCAAATGTTTATGAGTCATGCGACACGATCGGTTTCTTTTCATATTTATTTGAATATGTTTATTATGTTACAAGCAAAAAAACTAGTATAGAGGTTGAAAAGGAAATTGCCACTTGATATAAGTCAACATTGATTCTTGATTAATTTGAATAGTTTTGTTTTATAATCTTGAGATTATTATAACTTATCTCTTGAATGAAAAATTTACTATTGAGTTGTTTTTCCAACTTATTATCATAATACAATTTTTTTTGTACAACTGAGAATTGTGAATGATCAAATTTGCAAAATGCCCTGCACTGGACATTAGTAAATAAATATATGGAAAATACAGACAAAATGGTATAAATGGACAAAATGACACAGTGGCCTTATTGATAATAATAATCCTGTCAGATGTTGAGCGTCATTGTCACAGTCTTGTCGCAGTAATTAGTTCAAACGTATTTCGCGCTTTGATATGTTTTTTGGGAACCTATTCATTGGCATTCATAATCATTTTCCATTAAAATCAATTAATTTATGCCAGTAATAGTCATTTCAATCAATATTATTGCAATAATCAGGTGTTTGGTAGTATTTTGATTGGTTATTTATTTTCGTTCAATTTTGGACAAAATGACATACTTACACAATGGACAAAATGATATAGTACTTTTTCGCAAGAATTAAAGGCTCAAGAAAAAAAATTACAACCTGTCAAAGGTGATTGGCTTTTAACTTCTACTCCAAAAATGCAAAAAAATAATTGCTGAAAACAGATCAAAAGATCTACCGGTAAAAAGAAGAGACTTGCATTCGTTGCAAAACCCTAGAACCCTATTGATATTTATGAGAGAACCCTAGAACCTTATTGATAGATATGAAAAAACAAATTTGTTTTTTTATTTTGTTTGAAATTTCATTGCTGTATTTGAAGCCGTCTAGCGGCGAGGTATTGCATTTTATATATTATTATTCCACGGGGTTTGATAGTGCTCAAAATAAGCTTTAAAATGAGTACTTTTAAGAGTCTGTTTTTTTTTTCATTTAAATCTAATAGTTTTATGAGGGCCATTTCCACCACAATTACAATTAATCGTATTACATTTAGAATTAACTTGGTTCAAGACATTCCAAAATATCACGCAAATTGGAGCACAGTAAAAAAATTCATACTCAAAACGTTTGAGTAAATATTCCGTATCCAATGCCAAACATATGAATTTTTGACACAATGAAACTTCTAAATAATTTTTTGAATAAGTATTTTTTTGTATTGTGATTTTGTAAAATAATTCAAAACACGACCGCATTAGTTAAAAAATATTAATCTGTCAAATTGAATTATATAGGGTATGTTTGATGTGCAATCGCACTGACTGTCGACAACCATCAGACGCTTGTGCAGACTTATCTGCCAAACCATATACTGTATCTTATATTATTTTAATTTTTGGCACATCCCAGCTGCTTTTCGGCAATAATTATGTAGACATTACATTTTTCTTATTTATAATCATAAATATATTATATTCTAATATTGTTTTATAATTAGCTCATTAGTGAATTAAAATTTTTGGCAGATGACAGCTTTCATTTGTTTTCATTGTCAAACTAGGCTTCAAATATTTTCAATGTCAAACTACGATAAGCGGTTTTTTGTATTTTTTTCCATTTATTTCTTCAATCTAACTATATTTCTCTAACCACAACAATCCTGGAAAATTCCCTTAATAAACTTCAGAAAGATTTATCAAAATCCGAATAATCGTTTAGGAGAAGTATCCTTTCATACATCACTACAGAAGAATTATATATATATATATATATATATATATATATATATCTTGTTTTTCTTTCCCCTTTCGTTTCTCACAACCCTCTCCCACTCCTTCATTACACGTGCGGACTACACTGCGTTGTAACCTTGATCAGTGTCCACAATGCAATGCTATCAATA